AATGATTGTCTATCGTTTTGTAATTAGGCGAGTAATCAGTTCGTAGTGAAATTACAAATTAATGTAATTAAGGAGGAACAGAAATTTGAATCAAAGATAAAAATCTAGCTGATAATGAATTTTCACGCAATGATAAGTCAGCTTCACAATGCCACTAAATTTAGCCTATCCTTGCTATCCAAAGGGCACTCTCACTGGTGCGGATTGCGGTTTCAAACTCGCATAGGCGTGCATTGAAAGCAACTTGTGTTGTCCCCCAGCGTAATTTTCACTCAAGCCTGCTTCTAGCATTCCAGTTTATGAAAATAGATTTAAAAAATATGAGAATTCGACGAGGATATACTTTGACAATTGAGTAAAGCAGGATACTTCCCAGCTCTAATGTATAGATATTTCGAAATAGTAACACTCAAGACATCACAAATATCGGTGATGAAGTAGCGGTTTCAATATAGTGAGTTTCGCCTAATGTGGGCTTTCTTATTTGTTTCTCATGTTTATGGTTCTAACCAAAGGAAAATTATTGACACATTTTAAAGAACAATATACAGTTAATGAATAAAAATGTTATCAGTACAATCAGGAATATATGACTGGTTTAAATTAATGGCTTGCTGTATAAGAAGCCGTTGCATATAGACGAGCATTATCAACAATCAATCGAAAAAACCTCTATCATTGCATTAGTGATATCTTTAAGATAATTCTTATTAACATTAAATGTTTAATTTTAGCATTTTATTATATTCAACTAATTTAAATTTACTAATTAAGATGGAAAATATATACATAAATTACTGCGAAATAATCAAAACGAATCAGAGAAGCTAGCTCTCACAAGTAACCATGATATACTAACATCGAAATTAAAATGAAGTAACAAATGAAAACCTACCTGGGGCAATTTAAGATTAAAATAAGTAGTTTTCTTTACTGGTAAGGTCTGCGAGGCATCTAATATGATGCCATGCTTCGTATGCTCGAAATTAGTTACATAGCGCATCTGAGTTGCGGTTGTGTGGCGATACTCATTGTTGCCAAATACACGGCGTTGATAAAGACCTGCCAAATAACCAGCAAGACCAAGTGGGAGCCAAGCGTCACACCAAGTATGCATCCCGATAAAACAACCGAATATCTGACTGGCAACTGCTTGTGCCAAAATTCTCCGGGTTGCAATAGTTTGTTCTATGATTCGGGATGAATGAAGTAAATCAACCGGAAGGATTATAAGAGAGGCATAAGATTGGAATTCAGCCTCATAGGCTTGGTCAACAAATACCAACTTCATAGTGCTGAAAGGAAATTCTGAAGCAAGCAATGATTCATAGTATTCAATTATATCAGCTATTGGCTTCACTGTATGCTTAAGTATAGGTAGAAGACCTTTAGGTGCAAAATGCGTAGCAAGATTGGGCAGCCGTGTGTCGGGAAAAATATCAAAAGCGCCGATAGCAAGGCCGATGCATGGTGCCGAAACAGGGACTGCAACATAAAAGTGGTATGTCTTCCTCTTTAAATCTTCGGTGTAATGAGGAGCCTCTAGTAGATCACCTGGGGCAACAGCAACCATATCCTCATCAACGGTGATTTCGATTTTCCATGTGCACGGTTCAGAGGAATCTATACAAGGAAACCACAATCTGGAGGAGTTCGGAGAGGCAGAAGTAAAAGCATGTATACCCCGGTCATCAGCATCTATAAGCATGGATTAAATGCAATTAGATTGTTTTTAGATACATAAAATTTACAAGTATCAATAAAAGAGGAAAAAGTAATACTTTACAACTTGCTTGTTTTAGCAAACATTGTTAATAATCATTTTCCAGCATTTGGCAGATTAGGCAGGTGAGGATAATAATAATGCTACATGAAATGGAAAGCGATTCCAGAGGGTATCTCAGCAGAAAATGAGTGCAAATTCGACAATTATTTAAGAGGTGAACTGTAATAGTGGAAGTTAGGCCTCTCGAGCCAAGAATGATCTCAGCCAACCCAGGTCTGGCTCTAAAGTTAATACGTTATAGTGTTGATGATGGAATTCACATTTAATTATTGTACAAAGCCAAAGAGATTGAAGAAACCATAGATGTAAAAGAATAATTTATACATCAACTCATCGTACTTAAATAAAAGGTAACACATTTTCTTAAAACATTAGAATCCACAATATGAGCGCGTGTGGATCGTTAGAAACAGCCCATCCAAACGGAAGAAACATATTTGTCATTTTGGGTTAAAGCGATGCAAATAATCGGGAATTATAAATGGATAGGGAACGATGGACAGCAAGAAATTGTATTTGACTATTCGTACAGTTTATAGTGTAAAGACCGGTTATGAAGACACGTAATGTCCGATTATGTAAAAGAAAAGTGAAAAAGCGCATCCAAACATCAATTGTGGTAAAGAAGCACCAAGTAAAGATAATATATAAAGAAAATCTAAAAGGATTAAAGCTAATCTAAAGACTTGGAAGGGAGCAATTTCTGATAAGACAAGGAAATAAGGAGTAATAAGCAACAAAAATTAAATTCACCATAGATTTGTCCATCTTTAGCTGGAATCACGAAATAGAATCCAGCTTTGGGTCTCGTAAGCGAAAATTCTAGAGTTATTCGTAGGGGACCCTTGGCAGCAATAAAGGACCAATAAGAAAGAGGCAACCGGATTGTAACTTCACCCATTCCTTCATCAGCATCCGCCATACTCACAACAGCGGTGTGCCTGCGTTGAAAGCTGTCAAGAGTCCTGAGTTTGGAATCTCTTTTGCAAATTTCTATGCTAGGGTCATTATATACGACAGGTAGATCCATAGGATTGGGAAGTGAATTATGATGACTTGAATGCAAATTGCCGCGAGTGACAACAGAGGAGCCAGTTGAGTCGAAATCATTAGAATCAGAGGGATCTCCTGCAGGCTCAAGCATAATTCGATGGATCCGACATTGCCGGCAATTAATATGTAGCCACCTCAAATTGTTAACCAAAGGCCATATCGTCATCTGGGTGAATCCAATTACGATACATTGATCGAAATCAATCTGAGTAAGACATAGAGCTTGATGAGCAAGTCGGTAGGGGCGGATATGCTTTATTTGTGGGCTTGCTTGTTGATTTGCAAAATTATTTTCATATGCCAGACTGCCGCAAGTAGTTTGGTCCATCGTAAGTATGATAGGATTGAAGAATGAGTCACTAGAGGTAAAAAATATACATTAAAAGCGCACGTAAATAGTCGTATATAAATAACTCTGAAAAAAAACATTATAAACGAATAGAACGAATATCAAGTATCAATAATATATCGTAAATGAACGAGCCAATAAAGGAACAAGTACAATGAAAACTGCTAAAAATCAACAAAGTTCATAATCATATAAATATGATGTTGAGTGATGGACAAAATTAAGTCAGAATAGGCCAAGAGCATAAGTTTGGTAAAGTCTTGAAGTGTAGTGGTTCAATAACATGCACATTAGTAAAAATAATTTTAAAGTAACATTGAACAACTAGTATAGTAAATGAGGAACAATGTGATTTAAGTATTCGAATACAGCAGGAAATGCAAATAAACACAAATACCTAGAAGCATTGTAATTATTCATGAGAATTGAATAAGGGTAAGGGATAAATAAAGCATATAACTCCAGTTTATGTTAAGAGTGCAAGTCTTTTAAATAGCCCCACTTCGTTATTCATGATCATTTAGGAAAAAAAATAAGAATTTCAAGCACACGTGCTACCAACTTACATCTGTTTAATAAAGAATACCGTAAGACCATTACACGAAACTTAAGATAATACTGTACCAGAATACACGAATTTTCACCCATGCTGACCTTATAAAGAATTGTTCGACTAGTGATGAATTGTCTTCGATAAAAATCCGTGACTGTGAAACGTCAAACAGTAATGAGATCGGAAAAACACGTTAGTTTAAGATAAGAGGCCCATTATTCTGTATAGATTTCAGGAAACATAGTGAACTCCTGAAATAGAAAAGCTGGAAAAGTTTTATTAAATGCAAATTTAATTTACTGAAAGGCAAGCCGAAGAGGTTATCTAGAGGAAATAAAATGACATATTTCATGAATTAGTCGTGTTAAGAATTCCCAAAAATTAATTATACAATGGCGTCATTGCAAACAAGAACGACGTCGGAGAAGCCTGAACGTAGAGCCAATGAATGAAAAGAGCGCTCTACATAAGCTTACTAGAGCAAGCAATTACTTTTAAAATTTACTCCAATTTTTGAAAGCGATTTCAAAATCAAAACATAAT